GCCGTGTGCCGGTGCAAGGTGCGGGACAAGTGTGAGGAGAGCGGTGGGCGGCCTGGCTGCGCAGGGAGTGTCAGCCCTGGGGAGTGACCGGCACGGTGGGTGACCCCGTTGGCGCTGCACGGAGGGCTCAGCTCTCCTGGCCTGGGACCCGCAGGGCCCTGACGCAGGCAGCTCCTGGTTTGGGTCATTTGTTTGGACCTGACTTTGGAGGAGGGAGAGAGAAGTGTGAGAAGGTGAGCGGTTCCCATCACGCAGTTTCTTAGTGGAAGCACCAGAATAGGAACCAGGGCTGCAGGTCGCTGGGCCACTGCTCTCCGTTCTGTCCACTGGTAGCTCCAAAATTAAGTAAAAGAGCTTTTGAGAAACTGAAGTGATTTGGAACAAACTTTGAAAAAAATTGTTTTGGGTCTGGCTTTGAACACCCCCATCCCTTTTTTCAGAGGTTTCTTGTATTATCTGACCTCAAAGGATTAGCAGTAAAGAGATAAACCTGAGGATTTTTTAAATTGTTATTATTTTTATATCAGTTTCTATCAAAGCCATAGTGTTTCATCCTTTAAATTACTGTGATTTGTTAAACTTATCTTTCCGTGTTTTTTGATTTTTCTGTGTCACAGAACCTAAATTGGTAATAAATCAGTAAGAAACAAATATTCACATTCACTCAATGAAAAGGATCGTGTGCAAGCTCCCCGCGGATCGGAACTGCACGTGGACAGGTAAGGACCTGGTGTGTGGAGCTGTGTAGGAGGCGACTCGGGAACTGAAATACGGGCCAAGGCAGATGACGTTCTCCCTTTCTCTTCCATCAGCTCTCCCCACTCCACTGTGAGGGAAAATGAACAAATCCCAGGTGAGTGTTTCGTTTCTTTATTCCCACTTTGTTTGCAAGCAGACTCTATGAGGTTTGAAAGGATTCACAGCTCAAAGAAGGGACGGTAGACAGAGAAACTCACCGCAAGGAAAATCTAGTTAATGGAGCAAATCCACATAGGGTGGTCAACAAAATTAAATGTGAGCGTTTTTACTTTTACAAAGTTACCCAAGTTGTTGGAAAATTGTCTCTGATCTTTTTAATGACAATTATGAGATGCATGCAGTGCGGGGATACTTCAGAAAGTTCCTGGGAGAATGTATTAAAAATGTAGGTTTGCTTTGGTGCAGAAATTCTTTGACATCCAGGGGTGGTTTTGTGATAACGCAAAAATGACCACGAGCTTTGTGAAGACCTTGTGTGTCGGCCATAATTGCTTCTTGGTGGAGACGGCGCAGTGCCACAACAGGCCTCAGTGCGTATACTTCTCAGGTTTAAGTAGACAGCTGACCTGCCTGATCCAGGAATAACACCTTGAAGGTGTGGAGGAACAGAGGGGGACTGTGTGGTCCCCAAAACAGTTCCCCACAAGTGTCCGTGTCGGCGTGTTTGTGGGTTCTGGCGGATGTGTCTGCGTTTCTCATTTACATGCCAACCTGATCAATGCAGCCTTGTCCCATCACAACCACATGCCTGGATCAGTTCTGGGAAAGGCCACCAAATGGTGCTCAGGGCCAGTGGGTGCTTTTTCTTTGCCTGCCTTGACCTTCTGCAGCTCCTAATGCTATGGACCATGGTCTGCTTTGAAAGTCTTCTGTGCTACTGTCGGCGCCACCCAGCTTGGAGCTGCCCTGTCCTGAAGTTCTAGTCTCCACTTGAGCCCTCCCAAAGTTGTGTTTCCCTTTTGCCCCAGACATTGCTTCCCCTCTGGGTTTTCATCCTTGGCCCATTGCTCTTCTCATTCTGTTTTTTTTCTTTTGAATATTTATTTATTTTACTTGAAAGAGTTACACAGAGAAGGAGAGGCAGAGAGAGAGAAAGAGAGAGGTCTTCCATCCACTGGTTCACTCCTCAATTGGCTGCAACGGCTGGAGCTGCACTGATCCGAAGCCAGGAGCTTCTTCCTGGTCTCCCACATGGGTGCAGAGGCCCAAGCACTTGGGCTATCTTCTACTGCTTTCCCAGGCCACAGTAGAGAGATGGATTGGAAGAGGAGCAGCCGGGACTGGAACCAGTGCCCTATCATATGGGATGCCGACGCCGCAGACGGAGGATTAACCTGTGCCACAGCGCTGGCCCCATAGCTCCCTCTTCTATGTTAGGGATAATAATGCTTGCTTGTGAGTTGAAAATCATTATTTTCTAGAGCAGCATCTGTCTTTTGATACTTGCTCGTGAAGTCCCCCCCCCATGCAGAAATGCTTGATTCTTTTCTCTAATTTATCCATCTTGTATGCTGGTATTGGAGGCACAGCTGGAAAGTCCTTCCCACTTGGTGATTATAAAGAGTCTGTTTTTGTATTCTAGTATTTTACTGTGCTCCAGTTTTACATCTTCAGTCCATCTGGAATTTACCTTGGTGTACAGGAACTTAACCATTCAAGCACAACACTCGTTCCGCTTACCACCTGTTATACTGTGTGCTGCTGTTGCGTGTCTTCTCCCTGTGCTCTGGAACCCACAGGTCTGCTGTAGTACTATGGATTTAGACAGTCGCTGTGCTTCTGTATTTACTTAAATATTTGCCCCTCTGTGCTGTCTCTGCCTTCTACGAGTTTCATGCTTCATCTTCGATCACTTGCGTTCAGCCCAAAGCGCTTCCTTATTATTTCTTGTTGGCTGGATCTTTTGGTGGCAGTTCTTTTTTGTTTTTGTTTTTTGACAGGCAGAATGGACAGTAAGAGAGAGAGACAGAGAGAAAGGTCTTCCTTTGCCGTTGGTTCACTCTCCAATGGCCGCTGCGGCCGGCACACCGCGCTGATCCGATGGCAGGAGCCAGGTGCTTCTCCTGGTCTCCCATGGGGTGCAGGGCCCAAGTAGTTGGGCCATCCTCCACTGCACTGCCTGGCCACAGCAGAGAGCTGGTCTGGAAGAGGGGCAACCGGGACAGAATCCGGCGCCCCAACCGGGACTAGAACCCAGTGTGCCGGCGCCGCAAAGTGGAGGATTAGCCTAGTGAGCCGCGGCGCCAGCCGGTGACAGTTCTTAACAGTTTTTGTTCAGAGGTGTCTATTCTGGTAGTTGTTCTTCTTTTAAATATTTATTTCATTTGTTTAAAGGCAGAGAGACAAAGATTTCCTATCTGCTGTTTCAATCCCCAAATACCTTCAATGTCTGGGGCTGGGTCAGACCAGTTCCAGGAACTCGGAACTCAATCTGGGTTTTTCACGTGGGAATCAAAGCCCCAGTTATGTGAGCTGTCCATCACCTGCTGCTCCCAGGTGTGTATTAGCAAGAAACCAGAATCAGGAGTGGAGGCTGGAGTTGAACCAGACACTCCTATATGAGATGCAGTATCCCAAGCCAAGTGCCAGCCCCTCTTCTTCTCCTTGTCCTAATTTATTTATGTATTTGAAATGTGAAGTTACAGAGAAAGGATGCGAGATCTTCCATCCACTGGTTCACTCCCAAAATGGTCATGATGGCCAGGTCTGGGCTAGGCTGAAGCCAGGAGCTTGGAACTCTGTCTGGGTCTGCCACGTGGTTGGCAGGGGCCAAAGGACTTGGGCCATCTTCTGGTCCTTTTCCCAGGTGCATCAACAGGGAGCTGGATCTTAAGTGGAGCAGCCAGGACACAAACCAGCACCACAAGGCTGGCCCCTTTTCTTCATTTTTGAAGGATGGTTTTACTTTGGAATTCTGGATTAGGACTTTTGTGTTTTACCTTTTAGCATTTTTAAAAAGATTTATGTATGTATATACGTGAAAGGCAGAGATGGGAAGGGAGGGAGAGGGAGAGGGGGAGGAGGAGGGAGAGAGAGAGATTTTTTTCCATAAAATTTCCTATTTTTTCCCCAAGATTTTCATGGCTATTTTTGAATATTTATTCTTCCTTATGAATTTGACTTGAGCTAGCCTATAGGACATGACACTGTTTCAAATACATTTTTTCACTTTTGAATACTTGATGTTCATTAACATGGCTCATCTCCATTTTTTGTAAGTTTGCTTTTTATAGCTACAGCTGAAAAGATCAATTCAAATGGTCAGGTGTACCTGAGTCAAATTTGTATCAGCTCTTTTGCGATTTCATGGTATATGCCTTTCTCTCTCAATCTAACCCTGCCAATGGCTTTCGTCTCCATATCAGATCATGGATCATCCGCCTCTAATCTGCACTGTGCACGGGGTACTTTCTTGCTTCACCAAATTATAGAATCATTTGAAAATATCTTTTTAAAAATTCCAAACAGAAACAGAACAAACATTTTGTGTTCAATTATAAAAATAATGGTTTTTCTCCTGGAATGATTTTTTCCCCCTCAGGGAAGAGTCACAGAAAACAGTGATTTCAACAAGGAACTAAAACCACATCTTGAAATTAGAGAAGCCAGAATGAAGTTCTTAGGATACAACCAAGTCAGCAAAAAAAATAAAAAAATAAAAAACCTGTTTTTGACACAGGGAGATGACAAATTCTTCCCATGCTTCATGTATTGATTTTCTTACATATATTGAATACTTTTTTTTTTCCTATGACAAAGAGACATCTGCATTTCTGTGTTTATTGCGGCACTGTTCACAATAGCCAAGACATGCAAACAGCCTAAATGTCCATGCACTGCTGAATGGATAAAAAGATTTGGTACATATATGCAGTGGAATATGATGTCACACAAAAAGGATGAAATCTTATCACAACAACCTGGATAGAAGTGGAGGCCATTTCATTGACTTTTTGTTTTGTTGTTTTTAGTCTCCGTGTCATTTGTTCTCTGTTTTATTGTTTCTTTCCTCCTACTAATTTGGGGTTTGATTTATTCTTACTTTTCTAGTTCCTTGAGGGGTGGTGATAAGCTGTTGGAGGTGTTTCTGTCTTTGTGATGCAGGCATTGATTACTGTACATTTCCATCTTTTCCTTTTGCTTTGCCCCATAGGTTTTGCTATGCTGTGTTTCCATTTTCCTTCTTTTCATGAGATTTTAAAATTTCCTTTTTTTAAGATTTATTTTATTTTATTTGAAAGGCAGTTACAGAGAGAGAGGGAGGGACAGAGATCTTCCATCTGCTGGCTTACCCCCCAGATGACTGCAATGGCCAGAGCTGGGCCAATCAGGAGCCAGGAGTCAGGAGCTTCTTCCTGGTCTCCCAAGTGGGTGCAGAGGCCCAAGAACTTGGGCCATCTTCTGCTGCTTTCCCTGGCGCATAAGCAGGAAGTCGGATCAGAAGTGGAACGGCCAGGACTCGAACCGGCCCCTTATGGGATGCCTGCACTGCAGACGGCAGCTTTACCCACTACACCACAGCGCCAACCCCTTTGATTTCCTCTTATGTCTATTGATTGTTTAGGAGTAAGTTGTGTAATTTTCCATGTATGTTTATGATTTCTAAAGTTTTTCTAGTTCTTTTACATGTAATCAGTAAAGATACTTGATATGATTTCTGTTCTTTTAAACTTGTTGAGACTTGTGCTGTGACCTACCATATGGTCTATCCTGGATAATGTTCCATGTGCTATTTTTTTAAAAAGATACTAGACACCCCCCCCCTTTTAAAAAAAGATTTATTTATTTGAAAGGCAGAGTTAGAAAGGGGGAGAGAAAGAGCCAGAGACAGAGATCTTCCATCCACTGGTTCAGTCCTCAAATGGCTGCCACAGAAGGGGCTGGGCCAGGCCAAAACCAGGAGCCAGGAACCCTATCTGGTTCTCCTCTTCAGGTGCAGGGGCCCAAAGAATCGAGCCATCTTCCACTGCTGTCCCAGGCGTATTACCAGGGAACTGGATTGGAAATGGAGCAGAGCATCTGGGACTCAAACAGGTGCCCATATGGGACACCAGTGTCGCAGGCGCACGTGGCAACTTCGCCCACTACACCACAGTGCTGGCTCCTCCATGTGCTTTTAAGAAGAATGTGTATTCAAGAACTGTTGGACGGAAAGTTCTGTAGATGTGTGTTAGATCAAATTCATCTATGGTGCAATGTAGCTCTGCCATTGGTTTTTTTTGGCCTAGACTTGTCCATTTCTGAAACTGTGGTATTGAAGCCCCCCTACTGGTACTGTATTAGTGTCTCTCTCTAAGTCTGTTAATACTTGCTTTACATGTTTGATTGCTCCAGTATTGAGCACATTTATATTTACAAGTGTTGTTTTGGCTTGTTGGATTGAATCATTACCATTATATACCGACCTTCCTGACCTATTTTTACATCTTTTTTTAATTTAATTTTAAAGATTTATTTATTTATTTGAAAATCAGAATTACACAATGAGAGAAGGAGAGGCGCAGAGAGAGAGAGAGAGAGGTCTTCCATCTGCTGTTTCACCCAACCCCCCCAGTTGGCTACAGCGGCTAGAGCTGCACCGATCCAAAGCCAGGAGCCAGGAGTCTTCTTCGGGTATCCCACATGAGTGCAAGGGTCAAAGGACCTGGTCATCTTCTACTGCTTTCCTAGGCCATAGCAGAGAGCTGGATTGGAAGTGGAGCAGCCGGGACTTGAACTGGCATACCCACATGGGATGCTGGTACTGCAGGTGGTGGCCTTACCCACTATGCCACAGCGCCGGCCCCTTATTTTTATCTTTTGATTTAAAATCTTTTATTTCATAGAAGTATGGCTATTCCTGTGTTCCTTTGGGTTCCATTTGCGTGGAATATCTTGTTCCATCCTTTCACTTTCAGTCTATGTATGTCCTTAGAGGTGAAGTGAGTTTCTTGTAAACAGCATATAGTTAGGTCCCTCTTTTTTTTTAAGTTTTATTTATTTTATTTGAAAGAGTTACAGAGAGGCAGAGGCAGAGGGGGAGAGACAGATATAGAGAGAAAAGTCTTCCATCCGCTGGTGCACTCCCCAAATGACTGCAAAAACCAGAGCAGAGCCAGTCCGAAGCCAGGAGCCAGGAGCTTCATCCAGATCTCCCATGCAGGTGCATGGGGCCCAAGGACTTGGGCCATCTTCCACTGCTTTCCCAGGCCATAGCAGAGAACTGGTTTGGGAGTGGAGCAGCCGGGACTCAAACCGGTGCCCATATGGGATGCTGGCACTGCAGGCAGTGGCTTTACCTGCTACGCCACAGCACCAGCCCTCCCCCCCCCCCTTTTAAGATTTATTTGAGAGGCAGAGTTACAGACAGAGAGGTCAAGACAGAGAGAGAGGTTTTCCATCCATTGGTTCACTCCCCAAATAGCCACAATGGCCGGAGCTGGGCCGATCTGAAGCCAAGAGCCAGGAGCTTCTTCCAGGTCTCCCACTCAGGTACAGGGGCCCAAGCACTTGGGCCATCTTCCACTGCTTTCCCAGGTCGTAAGCAGACAGCTGGGTCAGAAAAGGAGCTGCCAGGACAGGAACCAGCGTCTACATGGGATGCTGGTGCTGCAGGCATATTCTTAGTCTACTATGCCTCAGCGTCAGCACCAGGTCCTGTTTTTTAATCAGTTCTATCACTGTAGATCTTTTAATTGAAGAACATAGTCCATAGCTGGATTGGAAGCAGAGTAGGCAGAACTGGAGCTGTCACTCTGATAATGGGATGCCAGTGTCTCCAGGGGCACCTTACCCTACTATGCCACAGCACCCACCTCTGTTGAGTTCATTTTTATATAAGGTATGAAATTTAGGTTGAGGTCCAGTTTTTCCTGAAATTTCTCCAGCACCATTTGTTGAAGACTCATATACTTTACAGGTTCACAAAAATTCCATTGGACTGCTTTTGTACCTTTGTCAAAAATCACCTGGGCATGCATGTGTAGGTCTATTTTTGGGTTCTCCTCTGTGTGCCATTGATCTAGCTACTTGTCCTTCTGCCAATACCGTACTGCCTTGATTACTTTAGCAATATAATGAGCCTTACTATTGTGCAGTGACTCATTTCACTTTATTATTCTTTTGCCACATGGCTTTAGATATTCTTAGGGCCTGAGCCTCCTATATAAGTTTTAGAAAAACCTGTCTGTTTTTATTAAGATCTGTGTTGGGAGGAATTGCATCACAGTACTGATTTTCAGAGTAAGATACTTTTTTTTTTTGACAGGCAGAGTGAACAGTGAGAGAGAGAGACAGAGAGAAAGGTCTTCCTTTTGCCGTTGGTTCACCCTCCAATGGCTGCCGCGGGCACGCTGCAGCTGGCGCACCGCGCTGATCCGATGGCAGGAGCCAGGTGCTTATCCTGGTCTCCCATGGGGTGCAGGGCTCAAACACTTGGGCCATCCTCCACTGCACTCCCTGGCCACAGCAGAGAGCTGGCCTGGAAGAGGGGCAACTGGGACAGAATCTGGCGCCCCGACCGGGACTAGAACCCGGTGTGCCGATGCCACAAGGCGGAGGATTAGCCTATTGAGCCACGGCGCTGGCTCCAGAGTAAGATACTTATAACTCACTCGCTCAGCTATCTGTGTTAGCAAATGTCTTCCCTTCCCAAAATTTAGCAGTTCTTGTAACCCCACTCAAGGCTCGCTCATTCACTCAGCAGTTGTTTGGGACTGTTTTCCGTCCTACTGAGTCTTGTTGCATTGTAAACCCTGTTCTAAGAGTGTTGCTGTGTTGTAATTGCTGACTTGGAATGGGAGAGCTATTTGGTATAGAGAGAGTCTGAGGTTTCCCTGACTGGGCATTTGGGACAGAAGAAAATGTTCTCAAATTGCTCTTAGCCATTGCTTCATTTCATGTAACATTCCATGTCACTTTATTTCAGCTTCTCGGTTGGATTAGCAGTGCCACATGTGACATTTTAGCTTTACCTATAATGGGACATAAAAACTTGGTTTATATACTCTTTCAAACTAGTGTAAAGCCCTGTAACTTGTGTTCTGAGCTACTTAAGGACTTTCACAGTTTTTGAAAGAAATCTATTTAAACTCCTGCAGTCATCTTCTGTCACTTGTCCAGAAGCCAATTTATCCTCGTATCTCTCATTTGGTCACTTCTGTTTTTTCAATTTTCTTTTTGTAAAAAAAAATAAATAAATTTGTTGTTATATTGGTGTAGTGTAAGGGTGGTATCCACCTTAGGGCTTGGCCTGCCTGTGTGTCTGGGCTTCCCCTGTGAGTGAGACCTCCACTGGAAAAGATCATGACTCAGTCATTGCTGACCGTCTTTATTTAGGTTGTTGTTTTTGTTGTTTGTTTGTATTGGTGTTTTGAACCAAGCACGCCTATGGAATGCTGGTGTAGCAGGCAGTGGCTTAACCTGTACGCCACATTGCTGGCCTCCAATTTCAAGTCTTTCAGAAATTACAGAGGGGCCTCTTCCCTACATTGTGTGGTATACATTTATTCATTTATGTTTCCTTATGGATGGTTTTGGAGTTAAGAGAGATAAATATGTATCTCAGACTCGAAATTTTACTTCTTTTAGTTTTTTATTTTGGAAAATTGCAAGCAAGCTTAGATAAAAGTTAGAAAATACTGTATTGACCCTCATGTACCCATTTTCAGCTTCTCCAGTTCTCTCTCAACTCATAGTTGTACTTCCACCTTTACCCATTCCTGCTGGAGGATTTTGAAGCAAAACCAAGATAGAAAATTATTTTGTTTGTGATTTTACATCACTATGTTTTGCTGAAAGAGATCCTCTGTTTTCAGCCTTTAAATATGAAAACCTAAACATCAGAAAATAAACACCCGTGTAATTTTTATCTAGATTCAGCAAGTGTTAACACTTTCACTTTTCTTGTTTTTTTTTGTTTTTTGGGGGGTTTTTTGTTTGTTTGTTTGTTTGACAGGCAGAGTTAGTGAGAGAGAGAGAGAGGTCTTCCTTTCGTTGCTTCACTCCCCAAATGGCTGCTACGGCCAGTGCTGCAGCCAGCACACTGCGCCGATCCGAAGCCAGGAGCCAGGTGCTTCCTCCTGGTCTCCCATGCGGGTGCAGGGCCCAAGCACTTGGGCCATCCTCCACTGCCTTCCCGGGCCACAGCAGAGAGCTGGACTGGAAGAGGAGCAACCAGGACAGAATCCGGCACCCCAGCCCGAACTAGAACCTGGGGTGCCGGCGCCGCAGGTTAGCCTAGTGAGCCGTGGCGCCGGCCCACCTTTTTTGTTTTAACTTCCATCTGTATATGTGTATTTTTTCAGAAAAATTTGAAAATTTGTTACACCCATTATAACGCTTTATCTCTAAATGCTCTTGGATGAATTTCCTCAAATAAAGACACTTGTTTACCCAACCACAATATCATTATTATGCTAAGAAAATTAATAGTGATCTATGCCATACTGTAACTTCCCAAAATCAGACAATATTTAAAGGTAAAGAGTAGCAACAGTGTTAGCAGAGGAGGTTGTGATTAGGGCCTGTATCCCCAGAGCATGTCTATTGTATAGCCATCCTTTACAGTATCCCCACCCCCAGCCTTCTGCTTGAAATCTCAGCCCTGCAGAAAAGCTGAAAATACTAGTGTACAGTGAAAATCCCAACATCCTCCCCCTAGATTAACCAGCGACCTAATTACCACATTTACTTTTTCTGCTTCTATGCCCATGCCACCCCTGTTTGCCAAAAGCTTTGAAAATAAGCTGTATAAGCATCATGACACTTTTGCATGTTTCCCCAAGAACAAGGACACTTTCTTTATATCATGGTGATAATTATATTTAGTGGCCACCAAACTCATATTTCTCCAGATATCAAAACATGCATTTGGACATTTTTTTTCCCAAGTTACTGGCTAATGAGTGATTTCACACTGTGTTCCCTTCTGGTGCCCTTTAATTTTTTCTGACCTGGAGCAGATCCCTGCCTTTTTTGTCTTTCCTGAAATTGCCATTTTTAAAGTGCTGACTCTTGAATTAATAATCTTCATGGTTTTATTTCATGGTAAACATTATTGGCTAGAATGCTACAAAGATGATGTCTTGCTTTTTTATTTCTAATATATTATTCTCTTTTCACCTACTCTGTGTTCTTAGCATTTATATATGATACCTGTCTGAATCAACTATTGTACTGATGGTTGCAAAAAGCATGATTTCACATTTGTTTTGCTTTTTTTAAGCTAGCTTTTCTTCTGTAAAGAAGCATGCTCTCCACCCAGATGTAAATGTTACTCTTGCACACAAGGATGGATCTGTGACATCAGTCTTTTTTTAGGAAAATAGTGTTATTTGAAACACAAACACAGGGAGAAGCTCCTGTCTGCTGTTTCACTTCCTAAATACCCATGACTTCTGGGCCAGGCCAGGCCAGGCTGACACCAGGAGTCAGGAACTCAAACCAGGTCTACCACGTGGTTGGCAGGGACCTGATACCTGCTGCCTCCTAGAGTGTGCATTAGCAGGAAGCTGGAATCAGGAGTGGAGCCAAGAGCTGAACCCAAGTGATAAACTACAGATGTAAACACTAGGCACTTCAACATGGGATGCAGGAGTCCCAAGTGGGGGCAGGACTGGATTTCAGGCACCTAGTATGGATATGGAGTGTGGATGTCCCAAGTTGCCACTTAAGCTGGTGTACCCAGTACACCCACACCAGCAGTCTCTTTTGTCTAGCTACTTTAAAGAACTTTGTTCTGAGTCACTGAGCTCTGTGAATGTAACTTTATTTTTTTCTTAATCTGTTCTGCTGATTTCTGCTTTAAAAAATTTTTGAGGGGCCAGCATTGCGACACAGTAGATTAAGTTGCTGCTCGTGATGCCGGCATCTCATATCAGAGTGCTGGTTCGTGTCCCAGCTATTCTACTTCCAATCCAGCTCTCTGCTGATGCGCCTGGAAAAGTAGTAAAAGATGGATGACCCAAGTACTTGGTCTTCTACCACCTGCATGGGAGATCTTGATAGAGTCCCTGGCTCCTGCTTCAGCCTGGACCAGCCCCATCTGTTGTAGCCATCTGGGAGTGAAGCACCAAATGGAAAATTGTTCACCCCACCCACACCCCTGTTACTTAGCCTTTCCAATATATGAAATTAAAAAAAAAAATTGAGGGGCTGGCACTGTGGCACAGTGGGTTAAGCCATGGCCTGCAGCACCAGCATCCCATATGGGCACTAGTTTGAGTCCCAGCTGCTCCACTTCTGATCCACGTCCCTGCTTGGGAGGGTGTGGAGGATGGCCCAAGTGCTTGGGCCCCTGCACCCGCATGGGAGACCTGGAGGAGGCTTCTGGCTACTGGCTTTGGCCTGGCCCAATCCTGGTCATTGTGACCATTTAGGGATTGAACCAGCAAATGGAAGATCTCTCTCTGTCTTTCTCTCTGTGTCTCTCTGTGTCTCTCTCTCTCTAACTCTGCCTTTCAGATACAATAAAAAAATAATTTATTATTTAATAAAAGAATTCTTTAAAAAGAATTGAGATGTAGAGAGAGAGAGACAGACAGACAGACTCCATCCCTAGCTCACTCCCCAGATGTCTACAGTGGCTAGGGTGGGGCTGAGATTGGTGCCAGGAACTGAGAACCTCAGCTAGGCCTGCGACCTGGGTGCCAGGGACCCAGTTTCTTCAGCCATCACTGCTGCTTCCAAGGTCTGTGTTGACAGGAACCTGGAGTCAGAAGCCAGAGCAAGCAATCAAACCCAAGCACTGTGGTGTAGGTATCCTGACTACTAGGTAAACATCTGCTCCCTCGTTTCTGCTTTTTTAATTAGAAGAATTTAATCCATTTAAATTAAAGTCACTTTGGATAAGAATAGACTCCTGTTCTTTTTAATTACTTATCCATTATTTCTTCTACTGCTGTATTAGTTGATTTCTCTACAGTATGCTGTTTTGATTTCTTCTCATTTCCTTTTGTATGTTTTTTAAAGGTATTTCAGTATTAGTTACTGTGGGGATTACAGTTAACTTACTACATTTATATTAATCTAGTTTGAATTGATACCAGCTTTTCCATAATCTTATCAAAATTCTGCTCCTCTACAGCTCTATTCTTTTTTATTGTTTGCATAAATTATATTTCATATGTTATTTATCCACTAATATTTATAATTACTGTTTACACATTAGTCTTAAACTCATTTAAGAGGTCGGCATCACGGCACAGTTGGTTAGGCCCCCACCTGTGACGCTGGTTTCCCATATGAGTACCAGTTCAAGTCCTGGGGCTGCTCCACTTCTGTTCTAGCTCCAAGCTGATGTGCCTGGGAAGGCAGCAAAAGATGGCCTGGGTGTTTGGGCCCCTGCCACCCATGTTCCAGGCTCCTGGCTGTGGCCTGGCCCAGATTATAGCCATTTAGGGAGTAACCAGCAGATGGAAGATTTCTTTGTCTCTGTCATTCTAAAACACTGCCTCTCAAATAAGTAAATCTTTTAAAAAATCATTTAGGAAATAAAAAATTGAGATCAGAAACCTAAAAACAAAAAATACTAAATTTTTATTTGCATACACACACATAGTTACCTTTATCAGAGCTCTTTATTTCTTCATACAACTTTAAGTAAGTTCTTTTCATTTCAACCATTGACATTTCCTGTAGGGCAGGACTCGTGACTAATGAATTCTTAGCTTTTGTGTATCTGAAAATCTGAATTTTGCCTTCATTTTTGTAGGATAGCAGGTTTTGTTTTGTTTTTCACTTATTTATTTTCTTGATAGAGGCTGTGGCAGAGAGAGAGAGAGGTCTTCCATCCGCTGGCTCATTCCCCAGTTGACCACGATGGCCGGAGCTGCACCAATCAGGAGCCAGGAGCCTCCTTCTGGTTTCCCACGTGGGTGCAGGGTCCCAAGGACTTGGGCCATCTTCTACTGCTTTCCCAGGCCGTAGCAGAGAGCTGAATCGGAAGTGGAGTGGCAGGGTCTTGAACCAGTGCCCATATGGGATACTGGCATTAGAGGCGGTGGCTTTACCCAGTACACCATAGTGCCAGCCCCAATTTGGTAGTTTCATAATTAGTAGTTGGCAAATTTGTGAGTTTTTTCATCTTACAATATGTTTTGATGTGTCCTTCTGGCCTCTGTGGTGTCTTCGCATAATCCTTGCATTCCTTTCTTTCCCGTTTCTCTTTCTGTGACTCCTATAATGTGTATCACTTGAATATAGGCTCCGAATGTAGATTCCATAGGCTCTATTCATGTTTCTTCATTTTCATATTCTGCTCCTCATGCTGGATTATTTTAGATGTTCCAATTTCCAGCTCATGGTTCTTTCTGCTGGATGTTCAAATGGACTGTTTTACTCTAATAAATTTTTTATTTCTGCAATTTTATTTTTCAGCTCTAGAATTTCTACTTGATTTTCTTTTTAATTTCTAGCTCATTTTACTCATTTCCTTTATCTCTTTGTCCATGATTTCCTTCCCTTTTTTGAGCATATTTAAGACACTTTATTAAATCTTTGTCTAATAAGTCCAGTGTTTTAACTTCCTCAAGGAAGAAGAGAATTATTAACTTTGTATACTTTATGCTTTTTTGTTAAAAATTGGATTGTGAATATTATAATGTAGTAAATCTGGAACACAGATTCTTCTACTTGCACAGGGTTTGTTGCTTTTTGCTTTTGAGGGTACAAATATATAGTTAACTTTCTTTTTGTTTCCTAAAGATTTATTTGAAATGCAGAAAGAGAGAAAGAGAGAGAGAGAGAGAAAGAGAAATATCCTTCCTCTGCTGGTTCACTCCCCAAATGGCTGCAATGTTTAGGCTGGGCCAAGCCAAAGCCAGGAGCCTAGAACTCCATCCAGGCCGGGCTGGGCCAGGCTGAAGCCAAAAACCTGGAACTTCATCCAGATCTCACACATGGCAGGGTCCCAGTACATGGGCCACCTTCTGCTGATTACCCAGACATATGAGTAGGGAGCTGGACTGGAAATGGAGCAGCCTGAACTTGAACTGGCACTCATTTGGGATGCTGGCATCACAGGCAGTGGCTCAACCTGCTGTGCAACAACGCTGGCCGTTGCAAGTGTAATTCTTTATGAGTAAGCTCTCCTCTGATCTCTCCAGAACCATGGACCAGGGTCCCACACTTGGAACATGGGCTCTGGTGTCAAGACTGCCAGCAAGCCAAGAAGGGCTGGGGTAAGGGTAAGTGGAAAGAAGCTTGAAGTTGCCTTTTATTTGAGGGGTGGGGGAAGGGAGGCGGTGGGGGGGGGGTTTCACCATTCACTGCATTTCTGTGGTCCTCTGATGTTTCCAGAGTTCTAAGAGTTTCTTCTGACAGTTTCTTCCTGTTCCTGTTGTTTCTTTGTTTATTTTTAAAGAGGGAGACAAAGAGTAATCTTCCATCCACTGCTTCCCTCTCCAGATGCCTGCGGCAGCCAGAACGGTAGCAGGATGCTGTCAGGAGTCTGGAACTCAGGCTGGGTCTCCCACGTGAGTGGCAGGGACCCAGCTACCTGGTTCCTCCCAGGGATTCATTAGCAAGAAGCTGGAATTTGAGGCGGAGTGGGGACCTACTCACTCTGGTAGGGGGTGTGGACCTACTCCTGCTTCTTGTTATTTGAAATCTCTATGGAAGGGCCTGTGCTTGATGCTGCCTGCTTTTCTAGGTTGTGGATGTCACTCAACTTCATGAATTTTCTTATTTATTTAATATGTTTTATTAAACTCTTTGCTTTAGAAGAATTTTGGATTTTTTGAAAAGTTGTGAAGATAGTACAGAGAATTTTCATATACATCCCCACAGACACAGTTTCCCCAATATTAAAATATTAATATGGTATATTTGTCACAACTAAAGAAACTTGATAGAATAAGGAAAAGCTGCTTAATTCAGATTTCTTTAATTTTTCTTCATTGTGTCCCTAATGTAGCTTTTTTTCTAGGATCCTGATGTTTCCCTGAGTCACTGTGTCTCCTTGGGTTCATCTTGGCTGTGACAGTTTCTCAGAATTTCAGAATTTCATTGTTTGTGATGATCTTCACTATTTTGAAGTCAGTCAGTGTTTCGTAGAGTATAGTAGTTTTGTAGACCATTCCTCAACTGAAATTTGTCTACTGCTCTTCTCGTGTTTAGACTGGGGTAGAATTTCTCCAAGGAAGACCACGGAATTAAGTGTTATTAGATCACATCTTATCAGAGGAAAATACTTTTCTGTGCTTTTTCACAGTTTGTGTATCACTGTTGATCACCTGGCAGAGGTGGTGTGATCACGTTGTTCCACTGTGAAGGTATTCTTTCCTCCTGGTTATCATACTCTACTCTCGGAAGGAAGTGGAAAGTATACTGCACATACTTGATGGCGGAGTGTCCACATCAACTATTAGGGATTCTGCACAGGAGACTTGCATCTTCTTTGCTATTTTTTGATTTATTGAATATTTGTCTTCATATGAACTCATGACTAGTTATTTTCAATATTACTAGTTATATTCAATATTTTGTTCAATTTTTTTTTTAAATTCAGACTTGCAGCTTGGTCATTAGGACCTCCTAGTTGGTTTCTCTGTCCCTTTGACATTTTCCATTATTGTGTTTTTTGAGAGCTTTCTTCCAAATACCTTTCTACCAAAAGGTATTTCAGGCTCATCCTATATGTTCCCTACCCCAGCCCTAGAGAGGCAGCCATTTTCCACGGAGCTCTTATTCTTTTGGCTAGAGTATGACATTGAAAACCAAGGTTGGGATGCTGCATGTGTCTGTTGTTACTGGTGGATCAGTGTCTGTGGACCCTCTCAGCTGACTGAACAAGGAAATGCATGTGTACACTAGCTCATGTGCATGCACATTTCTGTAGATAATCCTTATGGAACCATTTGTACTGAGCTAAGCATTAGTTCATGCCAGTGTCTTCCACTCTAGTCCATTACCTCATGGAACATTCATAATGTAAAAGACAAGCTCTTTTCCCCATGCTTGGCTGTAATCTCCTACTTCAGTTAAGAGAAGCCTAGTCCCATCATCCACCTTCCCTTGACTGAGTCATGTTCACATCTTCTGTATACTTAGAGAATTTTTGCCTGCTTAGTCTGTCAGTATTGACAGAGGAGTGTTGAAGTCTCCATCTATAATGTAGACTGGTCAGCTTCTCCTTTTAGTTTTATTAGTTTTTGCCTTACATATTTTAAGGGTCTTTGTTAGATGCACATGTATTTCAGATTGTGTCTTCTTTCTGTAATATGATTTTGAACCCATCTAATAAGCTCTTAATTTCAGATACTACATTTTTCAGCTTGAGACTACCCATACTCTGTGTATATGTGTATGTGCACCTTTGTGTATTACATATACGCTACATATCAGAGGCTCCCAAGACCATCCCTAGGCCCAGTGATTCCCTAGGTTGATCCCACATACCATCATACTGCTATGATTTATTACAATTAATGAACTCTTAAAAATAAAGATTCTGAGAGTATTTTCCCAGTAGAATCTCACAAAACACACATACATCCTGAAATGTGTACCAGAGAAACCTAATAGGTACTTGGTGCCCAGGGTTCTTAGGAAGGGCTGTTCACATAGGTACACTCTGCCTCACTTGTACCACAATTCCAGCTTCCCAACAGAAATACACATACTCATTGTGAACTGTGTTGTTTACACAGAGTTCAGACTCAGTGAACCCTCAAACAGAAGGGGAGAACCCTTCTGAAATCCAGGCTCCCAGATGCCAGCCCAGGGTGATCCAAAGGATCTGTTAGTCCCAGGCCTGTTCGCTTAACCCTTTCTCCGCACAGCACATGTGCAGTAAGCCTATTGAGCTTCTCTCATGTTCTCATTTATTTTGTTCATATTTCCTCTGTTTCATTGAAGATACTAATTATTCATTTCAAAGTTCTTGTTAATTTCTTGTCTTTAAATGACCTGTCATGGTTCCTGTCTCTTCACATACCATTAATTTTTTTTACTAGATGCCAAATACTGTTTTTAAAAACAATTCGAGGTTATTAGAGATTCCAAGATGATCTTTTCAAGCAGATAATGTTCACCCTCCTCTCTAGTGGGCAGGTATGCTGCAGGGCACCCAGTTTAATCAATCATGGCTGAGCTTGGTCAGGGCCTGCACCTGGTTCATTTCAATCCCCTTATTTTTTCATATTAACTTAAAGTTTTACATCCCGATGAAAATCAACCTGCTAATGTAAAAGACAGTGTGAAAGATCTAACTCTTCTTCTGTAACACCAATCTACTTTATACACATTGCTAGTTCCTGCAGTGTCCTCTTTATTAAATATTAATGTGTATGTTTCCATATCAGGTCATAAGCACTTTGAGAACAGGAAGTATGGTTGTTTTCATCAGTAGTATTTGTAGCAACTTGGACAGTTCCAACCCCTTTGTGGAAACTTAATTTATATGAGATATCTTGTGTTATTCTACATAGCTTAGCAAAAAAGGAAGTATCCTATAAGCTATTTTTGATAACTCTAAAGAGATTAGTTCTCTTAAGTCTTTCCTACATCAGCTAGTTCTGACTACTCCATATAGCAAAGGAATGTACTGTTACAGGAACAAGTGTCATTCAAGGATGTGTGTGTGGACTTCACCCAAGAAGAATGGTACCTGCTGGACCCTGCCCAGAGGGTGCTGTACAGAGATGTGATCCTGGAAAATTACAGCAACCTTGTCTCAGTAGGTAAGGGGATTTTTTTTTTCATGTGGCTGCCTATAGCGTGCATCGCTTAGTTGCTGAAACATGTGAATGCCCTGTTATTTTCCCTTGGTGAAGCTTGAGATTCAAGATATTGAGATTCACTCTTGGCCACCATAGAGTGTGTTCTAACCTCCTAAGAGACTGGTTTAGATGGATTTTTTTTAAGGATTTATTTTTTATTTATTTGAAAAGCAGAGTTACAGAAAGAGAGGGAGAGAGAAAGAGAGATCTTCCTTCCTCTTGTTTGCTCCCCAAATGGCCACAACAGCTGGAGCTGTGCCAGGCCGAAGCCAGGAGCCCAGAGCTTCCTCTAGGTCTCCCATGTGGGTACAGGGACCCAAGCACTTTCGCTTTCGCAGGCACACCAGCAGGGAGCTGGAACAGAAGTGGAGCAGCTAGGTCTCGAACAAACATTCATAAGGGATGCCAGCATTGTAAGCGGTGGCCTAACCCACAATGCCAGTCCCAACGTGGGTATCTTTGAGCAGCTCCCGAAACTATAGCTTCTTTTCTCTTCATTTTTTCAGAGTTTCTGAAGCCACGCTTGTTATTTTCTCTTAAGCCAATTCTGTGTTATTTTCTCTTAACAGGGTATTGCTTTACTAAGCCGGAAGTGGTCTTCAAGATAGAACAAGGAGAAGAGCCCTGGATATTAGAGAAAGGATTCTCAAGCCAGAGCCACTCAGGTGAGTTAGTGTGTTCACAGGCAAATGAAAGCTCAAGGAATGTCGATCTTAGGTCACTGATTTAGGGTTTGTTACCTTTGGAATATTTTTTAGAAATTTCTATATTTGGCCCTATACATTTGGAAGTGACCAAGGGCCCTTGACCCACCTCCTTGTTACCTCAGTCCCATCTGCATATGTCAGTCTTATTCATAAATGCTTTGCTTTTTTTCCCTGTGAAATTTCAGAATTGATTTCTCTGTACCAAACCCAGTTGGCTTCATCTTAGATATTTTTCTTGATTAGTTTCTCATTGTCTTTCTAAACTTGTTCATCTTCTCTCTGCTGTCTTTAGATATCTTTTGATAGCTGGCATGTATTCACGTGATACTTTCAGATATTCTCTCCAAAAATCTGATGAGTACTTCCTGTTACCACATTATGTTTTAGTTAACAACATAATAAAGTCTCTGGATCATAGAATGTCTGGTACAACAGGGTACAAAAAACGTAGAAATATGAAGTGTGCTTCAAAAAGCTCATGGGAAATAGAATTAAAAGATGGTTTATTTTGGTAAAAATAATTGTGAAATCTGTGTATATGATGGATCTTCAAAAAGTTGATGTTAGGGCAGATGTTTGTCACAATAGTCAAGATACGACTTGGGGACTGGCATTATGGCACAAGCAAGTTAAATTGGCACTTGCAATGCCAGCATCCCATATCAGAGTGCTGCTTTGAGACCTGGCTGCTCTGCTTCTGATCCAGCTTCCTGCTAAGGTGCCTGGGAAGGAGCTGGATGATGGACCAACTGCTTGGATCCTTGCCACCCAGGTGGCAGGCCTAGATGGAGTGCCTGGTTTCTGGCTTTGGCCTGACCTAGCCCTGACCGTTGCACAGCCATTTGAAAAGTGAACCAGTAGATGTAAGATGTGTCTGCCTCTCTTTCTGTCCACCTCTGTCACTCTACCTTTCAAATAAACAATTAACTGATTTAAAAAAAAATAAAATGACATGGCATGGGTTCAAGTCTCAGCTCCACTTCTGATTTCCAGTTTACTGCCAGTGTGCACCCAGAGAGGCAGCAGGTACTGGCTCAAGTACTTGGATCCCTGTGACCCACATGGGGGCCTGTATTGATATCTGGGTTTTTGGCTTTGGCCTGTCCCAGCCTTTGCTGTTGGGGCCATATAGGAAGTGAACCAGTGGATGGAAAATCTCAATCTGTCTCTGTCTATCTGTCTCCCTTCCTCTCTCTCCGCCTTTCAAGTAAATAAAAATTAAGTGAATAAATTTTTTTAAAGGGAATTCATGAAAAGTGCGTATTGTGAAAAAACTATGCATGGATTTAATTTTTTTCCTCCAAAATAAACATCTTTAATTCTATTTTTCCATGAATGTTTTGAAGTATCTTGGTCTTTGTGTATATATTTATATACACACACTGTTGGGTGTTGGTGAGTACTGGGAAGAGAACTGGGGGAAAAAAAAGAACAGATAACGATAGTGTGTGCTGTTTGGCAAAGAGGTCAGAGAAAACCTTTTTTTTTTTTTTTTTAATTTTTTTTATTTATTTATTTTTTTGACAGGCAGAGTGGACAGTGAGAGAGAGACAGAGAGAAAGGTCTTCCTTTGCCGTTGGTTCACCCTCCAATGGCCGCCGCGGCCGGCGCGCTGCGGCCGGCGCACCGCGCTGATCCGATGGCAGGAGCCAGGAGCCAGGTGCTTTTCCTGGTCTCCAATGGGGTGCAGGGCCCAAGCACTTGGGCCATCCTCCACTGCACTGCCTGGCCACAGCAGAGAGCTGGCCTGGAAGAGGGGCAACCGGGACAGAATCCGGCGCCCCAACAGGGACTAGAACCCGGTGTGCCGGCGCCGCAAGGCGAAGGATTAGCCTAGTGAGCCGCGGCGCCGGCCCAGAGAAAACCTTTTTGATGAGTTCCACTTCAGAAATGCGAATTTTATAGTGTGGGCTATGTGTATTCAGAGTATTCCAGACAGAGGGAGCCTCTCAGATAGGTATATTCTTGGGATGTTTGAACAATGGCAGGGACCAGAGTGGCTGGAAGCCAGTGGGAATGGGAAGTTTGATACGAGATGATGTTGTAGAAATAGCATGGACGTGGTAGATTTGTTCATTTCATTCTCAGTGATGTCAGAAACCCTCAGATTGTTTTTGGTAATGACAGATCAAGTCATCCAATCTGGTTTATAGCTTCAAAGGTTCTCTCTCAGTTCTGGGCAGTGAATACACAGTGGTGGGTGGCTGTTGGGTGGGCTTAAGCAAGGCAGGCATTCCAATTAAGAGACGTTCTGTATTTCCGGGGCACGAGGATGGGGCTGAGGCTGTGCTGGAGGTGCTGAGAAGTGATAGGTTTGTACAGATGTCTTGAAGAAGGGGCCAAGGGGTTTGCTGTTACAGACTGGACAAAGAGTGGGAGAGAACAGGAGGAGTCAAGCCTGATCCCAGTGATTATCTCCTGCAGCCACACCATGAGGGTCCTACCAGCTGGGGGCTAGTTAGGAAGGAAGCATTGCATAGGAGCTAGGACAGAGTTAATTTTGTGCCGGAGATGTTGGAGACATGTGAGTACATGGTTGCAGCTGGAACCAGGCATGTCAGTTCAGAAGGCATCAACTTCAGATGATGATAAGTGTGTCGGGGCTAGATGAGATGATCTAGGACAGAGGTCCGCAACTTTCCATAAAAGACTCAGTAGTAAGTGTTTCAGGCTTCGTGAGCCACATATGGTCTCAAATGCAGCTGCTCCTCCTTCCATCCCTCCTCTCCACTGTCCCCTTCCTGCCTCATTTCTTCTTTGTCCTCCCACTTCCCTACTGCCTCGTCCATCTTTGTCCCTTTCAAAAAAAAAAAAAAAACTTTCAAAACCTTCTTAGCTCAAGGGCCATTGCTGTGTAGCCATTGTTTGCCGGTCTCTTTTGTGGAATGTGGCTGTGTGTAGGTGGGATTATTCTTTGGACAGTCCTAGTGTTAGAGGGCATTACATAGGTCTGTCGTCAGAGGAGATGGAGAAGGAGCAAACTGAGCTACATGAGAACCTATTTCCCAGGAGTCAAATCAGGTACATTCTACCCTAAGCGGCAACCACGGGGTCCCTGTTCTGAACCTGCTGTCACTTTACTGATCTCATCATATTCCTGTTATTAATTCCTGTTATTATTTCCATTTAAAGCTGTTGTCTACATCTACATGTCTTCATAATCTTGCTTTTTCAGATACCACTCAACACATGCAGATACAATTATGTCTGTGCTCTCTCATACCTGACTTGGTCTAATCCCTAATTGGTTCTTTTGTGTTTTAGGTGTTGTTTTTTTTTTTTTTTTTTTTTAACGTAAAGCATTCAGGTTTCTTTTCATTAACCTACCAAGGTAAGCTGTAGTTGCTCCTTATTAATAAATGTAACTAAATCTCTTTTTATTAACTGTATAATGTGGTTTTATCCTACCCATCTTAAATTTCTTTTTTTTTTTTTTTTTTTAGTATTTTTCCCAAGAAACCTTTTCTTCCCCCCAGAAACCTCTTATTTAAGGTATACAAACTTAATGCATTTCATAAATGCAACTTTAGGAATATAGTGATCCCTCCCACCCTACCCTCCCTCCCACCCATTCTCCCACCTTTTTCCTCCTCCTTCTCCTATTCCCATTATTTTTTACTAAAATTATTTTCAATTAACTTTATACACATGAAATTATACTAAGAAAAGAGTTCAACAAATAGTATGAAAATACACTGTCCTCAGCAATCAAGACAACGGCTGTTCAAAGTTACTGCATCTCAAAGGGTCAATTTCCTTTCTATAGATTACCTTTTAGGTGCTCTAATAGTTACCTCAGAGCAGGTTACATTTCTTTCTGCTTTCTAGAATGTATAGTAACCCTCATTCTGTTCTGTATTTTAAATTGTGTTTATAAATGTTCTCTCATTTATCTGAAACACTCTTTCTTGTTTACTATTGTCTTTTTCAGGTAATTTTGTTTATTATATAAGGTGTTTAGATGCTGCATGATAGAGAGCAATGGCTTGTTACTATTATTTCACTTGTTTTATAGCTCAGGCTTGGTTTTTTTTTTTTTTTGCTATAACTTAGTCTTTATTTTTTTAAGATTTATTTATTTGAAAGAGAAGTAGAGAGGTAGAGACAGAGAGATCTCCCATCTGCTGGTTGACTCCCCAAATGGCTGCAATGGCCAGAGCTGAGCCGATCCAAAGCCAGGAGCCAGGAGCTTCTTCCAGGTCTCCCACATGTGTGCAGGGGCCCAAGCACTTGGGCCATCTTCCAGTGCTTTCCCAGGCGCATTAGCAGGGAGCTGGGTCGGAAGCGGAACAGCCAGGGCTAGAACCGATGTCCATATGGGATGCCGGCAGTGCAGGCCAGGGCTTTAACCCACTGCACCATAGTGCTGGCCCCATCATCTGTATTTTATGATACTTACCTGTCAGTGCCAAAAACTCAGATTTAATGGCTGTTGTTTAGGGCTTCTTTCTCTACTGCAGTATTCTCTCTTTTCCCAATTCTAGTGTTTTGATTACTTTGTTTTTTTTTTAATATTTTTTTTTTATTTGAAAGAGTTACAGAGAGGCAGAGAAAGAGAGAGAGAGAGAGAGAGAGAGAGAGAGAAAGAGAAAGTCCTCCATCTGATGGTTCACTCCCCAGATGGCTGCAACGGCCGGAACTGTGCTGATCTGAAGCCAGGAACCAGGAGCCTCCGTGTCTCCCACTCAGGCTCAGGGACCCAGGGACTTGCGCCATCTTCTACTGCTTTCCCAGGCCACAGCAGAGAGCTGGATCGGAAGATTAGCAGCCAAGACCAGAGCTGGCACCCATTTGGGATGCCAGCACTCAGGCCAGGGCTCTAACTCGCTGTGCCACAGCACTGGCCCTGATTACTTTGATAATTATCTACAAAGCCAGGTTCAGAAGGGATTGTTATTTCTGTTCAGAAAGCATTCTTTAGCTCTCTTCCTAAATGCACATCCCCTTCTTTAGTCCTTGTACATTAAAGCTCATTAGGTACAGGTTCAAAATAACTCACATGCGCATTGCTTTTTAAAATCATTACAGTACTGTCTCCTCAGCAGTGGCAGAGGAGATAAGACTATAATAACACCTGCCAAGTGCCAGGTCTTTCAAGACCAGAGCCTGTAGCATTGATCAAGGGATTTATTTTGTATTCAATGAATTATGAGAACAGTAACTTCTTCTAAAGATTGGAGCAAATACAGCTTTAAAATGATAGAGGCGTTGTAGAGATTTTTGGTTTTCTTTCTTTTTTGCTTGTTTGCTTCTGTTTTGCTAATTAAAGCAAGTAGTATTTCACTGAGGGAAGTCCAGGTTCCTAGGAGAGCCAAGGCTGGGTTGCTTCTAGCGCAGTGAAAGTTGTGTTATTGGGATGAGCTGTTTACTAGAGTCTGCCGCTTGGCCAGAGCTGCGCAGAGGTGGTTTCAGTGCAGTGAACCCTTACTGTGAGTCAGCTGGTGTAAAGTTTTGTTTGTTTTCAGTTGTTTTTTCCAGGATAATGTTTATCTTTTGTTCTTTGAAGCGGTGGACTCAGAGAGCTGTTGTAGACTTTTTTTTAAATATAAGATTAATGTCATTGTGTTTAGTAGTAGATCCAAGAATGTTTATGGTAGGATTACTGAAGGTCTATACCATGTAGGGAGCCTGAAAGAAAGTAAAAGCCACATATGAGCTTAGATGTTAAAGAAGAAAACCTAGCTACAAAGGCAAACCTAAAAACCAAGATACGGAAACAGGTGTGCATCTTAGTGAGCGTCCCACCACAGTAATCAGGCATGCAGTGAGTGTACAAACCATGCCCTGCCTCTGTCAGACCTGTTTCTTCCTCTGTTCTGTTTCTCAAACACATCTCAGAAACTCTGTCTTCTATTTGTCACGTCTTAAGTTTATTTCATCTGCTTTTCTTCCTTAGAGTCCTTAAAAATAATTATTCCTTAGCAATAAAATTAAAGAAAAATAAATTCTGGGGTTTCAGACTATTCTTTTGAACCTAAGGAACTTGCTATTTTCAGGACTTTAGTTTGATGTTACTGTATAGAAGTGAAGAGAAGTGTGTACCCAGGTGACAGTCCTGCCAGAGTGATTTGTGTGCAGACTGTTCTGTCTCCATCCAGTATCACTCATGCTTCAACAAGAGACCCTTGTTTCCCAGTCTTCACCGTTGCTTTAATCAGTGTTCATTGTCTGTGTGGGGTTCACCCTGTGCTCTCTGAGTTACCTCTTTCTGAATCAGCTACCTCAGCTTCCTGTGTGTTGAATTCTCTTTCACCTTTTCTGTACAGTATTGAAGATTATATTTTTAACATGTTAAGATCACTGCCATTTTCCTCTCCCTGTTTACACTGCAGCATGTTTGTGTTTATCCCAGGACAGGAGGGGAAAGGAAATACATGCTTGGATTCAGTTCACTCCAGAAGACTAAAACAAAGTAATTTGTGTAAAAGTCCAGTTCTGTTAGAAATGTATTCAGAGCCATAAGATACGGTTGTTTTTCTTATTTCTAGAAAGGAAATGGGGAGTTGATGGCCCATCAGAGAGCAGCCAAGGCGATCCAGATGAACACTTCTGGCAGCTTGTGTTCACCAGCAACAACACAGTAAGTGCAGAAAGTGGTGACAGAGTAAGGAAAATCTCTAATCTGGGCGCAGACCCTGTTTCTTCAAGAAATTTTCCCTGTAAAATTTGTGATTCATGTGAACTAAGCTTGAAAAATATCTCAGGCTTACTTACTGGTAAAAAGAACTATTCCAGAAAGAAGTCTAATGAGCTTAATGTTTGTGAGAAGTTACTGCTTGATATTAGGCATGAGAAGATTGCTGCTGGAGGGAAATCTGGTAAATATTTACAAAAAAGGAATGTCCTTAGTCATCACCATGGTCTCACTCAGCCAGGTTTTGACCCACCTTTTCAGTATAATGAAAATGGACAAGGCTTCCCTGAGGAGGCAGCCTTTTTAACACATCAGAGATCTCAGCTGGGAGAGACGGTCTGTAAATATAATGAATGTGGAAGAACCTTCATTGACAGTTTAAAGCTCCGTGGATCTCCGAGAACTCATTTGGAAATGGAGCCAGATGAATGCAGTGTGTGTGGGAAGTCTTTCTACATGGATTTAAGGTTTGGACATCAGAGAGCTCTTACAAGGGACAATCTTTATGAATACAATGAGTACGGTCAAATTTTTTGTGACAATTCAACTTTTATTATCCACCAGGGAGCTTACTCAAGAAAGATTTCCCAGGAATATAAAGTGAGTGACAAAACTTGGGAAAAACCCCCCCTCTTTAAACATCAGATAGTACATATGGTAGAAAAGCCCTATGACTACAAGGAAAATGGAAATAATTTCAGTAAGAAGTCACATCTCACCCAGCTTCGGAGAGGTCACTCAGGAGAAAAAACCTTTGAATGTGGTGAATGTGGGAAGACCTTCTGGGAGAAGTCAAACCTCACCCAGCATCAGAGAACACACACAGGGGAGAAGCCCTATGAGTGTGCTGAATGTGGGAAAGCCTTTTGCCAGAAACCACACCTTACCAACCATCAGCGAACACATACAGGAGAAAAACCCTACGAATGTAAGCAGTGTGGAAAAACATTCTGTGTGAAGTCAAACCTCACTGAACATCAAAGAACCCACACAGGGGAGAAACCCTATGAATGTAATGTGTGTGGGAAATCCTTCTGCCACAGGTCTGCCCTAACCGTGCATCAAAGAACGCACACAGGGGAAAAACCCTTTATATGTAATGAATGTGGGAAATCCTTCTGCGTGAAGTCGAACCTCATTGTACATCAGAGAACTCACACAGGGGAAAAACCCTATAAATGTAATGAATGTGGGAAAACTTTCTGTGAAAAGTCAGCTCTCACTAAACACCAGAGAACTCACACAGGGGAGAAACCCTATGAGTGTAATGCATGCGGCAAGACCTTCAGTCAGCGGTCAGTACTCACGAAGCATCAAAGAATTCACGCGAGGGTGAAAGCTCTTTCAGCATCCTGAACATCCCAGTCAAACTTGTACCGTTTTTTTAAATGAGACCAGAGAAAGCCAAAGAATGCCATGAATTACTAGAAAATGACATTTGTTTGAATATGTAAAAACGTTCAGGAGAAAGTAAAGCTTTTCATTAGTAAATGTGTACTGAGGAGGACTCCGTTCATTTAAGCAAGGTGGTAAAACACTTTAGAATTTATGTTGTTTAGTGTTATATTCCAGGTGATACCAAAATTATATTATAAGCATAACGGGCAATATTCGTTCACATCCATATTCGCAGTGGAATCTTTTCACAAAAAATTGAGTGACAACCGCATTAAGTATACCTGTGAGAGACTATGTGAGTATGTCGATGCAATGGAACTTCGCAGTGTGCTTAATTTGTATTCAAGCTTGTGAGGAGAAAATTATGAACCTTAGTTTAGTAATTATTATGGTATTTATTAATATTTTTCACACTAGGTAATGCAGGTATCTATAAGTTGTATGCATATGTATGTGTGTATATACGAATATGTATATATGTATGTATATGTAAATGTATTTGTAATCACATACTTAAACACACATAGTAAGTGATGTGCCAGCATCACCTCATACTCACTGAAAAGTGCTGCTGACATATTTTCAGGAATTTTGCGAGCCAGTTAAACACAGTCATTATTTTAAATTATATAAACTGATACTAAAGTGTATTTAAAACAAAGTTAATAAATATTCGACACTCAGCACTTCCCAGTTCTTTGGCTACAGCTCACTGTTCCTGTGTTGAAGTTGCTGTGTTACTGAATCTATGGTCAGAATACCACAGATGCGTGCACTGCGTTGGGCGCCTTCCTTGCTGCATCCGTCAGTTCCAGCACCTTGGTGGGTTGGCCTTGGTGGGACTTTTTGCACCATGGACATTGGCGAACATGGGGTATCAGAGGTTTCATTTTCTCAGTGAACCCATTGTCAAAATTTGCCAACACACTTTTCTCTGTGTGTATGTGAAAATATATTAGGCAGCTTTAAAGTACAAATCGCATACCTACCCTGTTTTCTATTTCCTGGCCTGGCTATGGCCATTACTACTGAACTGCCTCTTCAATAAAGCCAAAAGATGTTTTAGTGAGGTTTTTAACTACCTCTGAATCAGTCCTGTTCTAAAGAGAACCAGAGTCTGTAACTTGGCCAATATATGTTTTGAATGAAATATTATTTCACAACAGTATCACCTGCCTTTTCTGTTTCCTGGCATATTTGAATGAATATGGCCATAATTACTGAACTGCTCTCTCCATAGAAAAATCAAACATATTTTTCCAAGGTTTTTAAGCTACCTCTAGGTCAGTCAGTGATGTAATGTAATTGCTGGTAATAACATTGTCATTGACATAAATTATGCTAAGTTAGCATCAATTATAAACAGTAATACTCACTGCACTGTACAGATAAAGAGTGGTCATATGAAATGAAATGTCCATCTCATACTCGTGATATTTCATCGTGGTATCTGTAGGCATGATATGTGTAACCCTAGTTCTGTGTAACCCAGGAACTGTGTGTTTGTATTTAGCAATATAGGGCTGTTTTCTTATGCTTCATTGAAACAAATGGGTAAGAAGGATACTGCCCATCTACTTCTTTCTTGCTTAGCTAAATTTTAATCTCTTTGACCATTCTTTTCCCAGATAATTTCAGGGGTAAACCAAAATTATTCAAAGCAAATCATGGAAATTAAATGCTAATGATTTTTGGGGGTGGGGAGTGAACATGTGACCAATGAGATGTTTGGAAAATACTCTGCATCACTTTGGAGAGAGCTCGGTGGTTAAATATTGTCATGACATGAGAACCTGTGAGAGTCATGAGAAGAAAGTGTCCCTCTTCCGCTGGACTTCTTCATGTCTGTAAGTGATGCAGGTGTGTCTCTGTGTGTGTGCGGCCCTGCGGGGCAGTAGATTGAAGATAACAATGCACAAGCTGGGAAAAGCAGGCTCAGAGGAGACATCGCCGAGCTCTGCACTTGCTCTCTGCCAGGACCTTGTATCTATCAGCTGTGATAGTAACTGTTTCTTATTTGTTCTTAGGGATGTCTGATCCTTAGAGCTGAAGGATCCAACTGACTCAGAGGAACATTTTTGTAAGTGTTAGTGATCTATACAGTGATTTGGGGAAGAATTGTGTCTTTTGACACATTGGTGCTGGTTTAGCTGTTTGTATCAGCCATGAATCATTCTGGTAGAAAAAAAAAAAAGGATTCTTCAGTAAAAAGTACATTAATGGCAGACAGTACAGAGGTGTGGGCCAGATGCAAGGGATATTAGAATCCATAGAGGCTAGCATCACAGGAAGCCATTGGCATTCTGAGACCTCAGAGGGCAAGGATGGACAGTGTTACCAGAGCTCAGTGACCCACTGTTGTGGAGGAGAGATGTCTTAAAGAATTGTGGCTCCAAGCTGCCTGCCTGCCTTTGGAGAACCCAACTACGTGCATCTGCAGGTGAGCCCATGTGGGCACAGAGGAGGGTGGAGACAGTCTGGGTGGAGAAAATGAAGAATAAGCAGCACAAATTTTTTTTCATTTCTGTAAGTTCCTATGTTTTTAAAAAGCTAAGTATTAGAAATAAAAGTTACTCTACTAGTCAAAAGTGGTGTTTCTGCTTCCTTGTGCTTTCAGATCAGCATAAGTAAATTCCTTTTAGAACCAAGCACTCTGGCAGGTTCATCTCCTTTGACATGTGTGAAGCAGACGTTGTGGCTGTCCCTGGTGTTCTTGTTCTGCCTTCTTACAGTTAAATAGCCAGTTGTCCACTGCACTGTTGAACTCACTCCCTATCTTTGATTGGGTGTGATATAATCATGTACTTAAATATAATGTGTTGTGGCTGTTGATTTTGTCTGTTCTTTGCAACTTTTCTATGTTCTTCCAGCTGTAGAACCTGAGCTTGTGCATTTACCCCAGATGCCCTTGGCCTGCCTTGGTATTCCTCCAGGAATGATCATTGATTCCAAAATAGGCCAATGAGAATCCATTGTGGAATATTTTTATTGGAGGTCACCAGATGATCTGTGTCCTTGTTGCTGCCAGCATTCATGCCAAGAAAACACATTTGGGCTGCAGTCTGTTGAGAATCAGTCCTCAATACACACACAAAAACACATTTTCCCAGAGATGGTGGTGGTAAAAGAAAAAGAAAAAATAGGGTTATGTTTGAATTTTAGATTTAAACATGGAGAGGAAAACACTTCACTGGGAAGGCTGCATTGAGAGAGGAGCCAGCAGATGTGTGGAGGAAGAGTGTGTAAACATTTGATGTGTGTCTGATACATAAGCATGGGTAACCAACAGTTTTATTTGAGATTCTGTTTCATGATGCAACTCTTAGCCTGGTTACCTGTAACTCTGATTCTACTTTTTTACTGTACTGTCCTCTATTAAAAGGAGTACTCATTCCCATGTACTAAACTGGTCACATAGCCAGTGAGTGGGGTCCTCCCCCAGGCACTGGTGTGTAAAGTCACTACAGGAATTGCTCAGTCATAAGTTTGTGCTTCTGCAGTGGCAAAGTCATCAGTCCAGTGCTGGAGTTTGTTTTAGGACTTGGGCTTCTTTCTTTCCCTTCTGTGTTATGCCCCATCTCTTCAAACCCAGTCTGTCATTGTTGGAGAATGTAGAACCAGAGCCAGTTCAGCTCAGCTCTGGGGGTCCTTGATGCCCTCAGCCTTGATATCATGCTTTCTGCCCCCAGTCAGAAGCCACCGCTGGCACTGCCCTGCACCTCCCCTGAGTCTTCATCTGCCACTGGTGAGTGGGCACTGCTGGTTCGGGCTGGACTTTTTCCATGCATACTGTAATTAACACACACATACACATGTATACATACACACATATACACGTACACACAGAGATACATATGTACCTGTGGGTAATTTGTAATATACTGGAGTCAGTTTTTATGGACATTTGAATTTTATGAGTCAGAAATACAGTCCAGATATTAAATGAAGTCCTTTATTACATGCAAAATTGTAGATGATGCCAATTGCAAAACACTTTGTTACCTGGAATTAGATCAGTTTAAAACTGGTATGGCTAGAGATTTGCAAGCTGTATTTTTTCATTGCTACCGAAAAGAAATAAACCTTCATATTTAATGTTGTGTGCATGCACGGCTATGACTGTTGATGGTGTTTAGAGTTGTCAGCTGATTTGTGCAGATGTTCTATTGTTAAAATTAAAAATTTAAAAATTCTTATAAAAATGTAACCTAAGAGTTTTTCAACTGTAAATGATATCTGGGAGGTCGTACAGCACTTTAACCAGGAAACACCATCCAGTGAGTTTAGTGGGTAAGGATGAGAAAATAAAACTCAGAAAATGCTAATTAAGATCACTGTGGGCTGGAGCCGCGGCTCAATAGGCTAATCGTCTGCCTGCTGCGCCAGCACACCAGGTTCTAGTCCTGGTCAGGGCACTGGATTCTGTCCCAGTTGCCCCTCTTCCAGGCCAGCTCTCTGTCATGGCCCGGGAGTGCAGTGGAGGATGGCCCAAGTGCTTGGGCCCTGCACCCCATGGGAGACCAGGAAAAGCACCTGGCTCCTTCCTGCCTTCGGATCAGCGCGATGCTCCAGCCGCAGCGCACCAGCCGCAGCAGCCATTGGAGGGTGAGCTAACGGCAAAGGAAGACCTTTCTCTCTGTCTCTCTCTCACTGTCCACTCTGCCTGTCAAAAAAATTTTTAAAAAATCACTGGGAAGATTTACCACAGAAATTACAGGCTTACATTCTCTGAAAATTATTTTCCATTTTACTTATTTATGTGAGAAAATTAGTGGGGAAAATATTATACTACCCTCTGTCATCTTTTGATGGGTTATAATTCAGGGCTGAGAAATATATGGCCTGCAAAATCATTTGGTCTGGCCCTGCCAAAACAACTGCAGGCAGTGCTCAAAATTTAATTAATCTATAGCAGGCTAACTTTTAACTTGATAATTTTGTGTGGCCTACAAATGATGTTATAAATATCTAAATGGCCCTTGGCAGGAAGAGGGTTTCCACCATTGGATATTGTATAAATACTATTTCTCATTTTACAAACTACTTCAGGGTCCGGCACTGTGGCATAGTGGGTAAAACTGCTGCCTGCAGTGCTGGCATCCCATGTGAGCACTGGTTTGAGACCCAAGTATTCCACTTCTGATCCAGCTCTCTACTGTGGCCTAGGAAAGCAGCAGAAGATGGCCCAGTGCTTGGGCCCCTGCACCCGTGTGGAGACCCAGAAAAAGCTCCTGGCTCCTGGCTTCAGATCTGCGCAGCTCCAGCCGTTGCGGCCAATTGGAGAGTGAACCAGTGGATGGAAGACCTCTCTCTCTCTCTCTCTGTCTCTCTCTCTCTCTTTCTCTCTTTCTCTCTGCCTCTGCCTCTACCTCTCCTCTCTCTGTGTAACTCTCAGATAAATAATTTAAAAAAAAAAAACTACTTCAAAAATTCATAGAAAATGGAATTAGAGATTATTTTTCAAAACATTGAAATTCATGCATGTCAGGGAGGTCTTCAAAAATCTGTGGAAAATGTACTATGAAAAATCTATGCATGGACTTCAAAAGAAAATTCATTTATTTGAAAGGCAGAGTTACAGAGAGAAAGAGATTGAGATATTTTCCATCTGCAGATTCACTCCCCAAATGGCGACCATACCAGGACTGAGTCAGGCTGAAGCCAGGAGGTCCATACAAGTGTGCCATGTGAGTGGCAGTGGCTCAACTAGTTGGGCCATTTTCTACTACTTTCCCAGGCACATTAGCACAGAGCTGGATCAGAAGTGGAGCAGCCAGGACTCGAACTGATGCCCATGTGGGATGGTGGCACTGGAGGCAGTGGCTTAACCCACTATGCCACAGCACCAACACTTTCTCTTAATTTTTACAATGACATACTCTGATAGACTATGGATATAGTAGCATATAAGACTTCAAAATCTGAATTTGGAGGAATAATAGCTATTTTGCGTTTTAATGCTCTGTGACAGTATTATACTATAAGCAAATGAATCAAACTATGTAAATCACAAAAACTAAACAGTGTGAAAAGGGTAATTCTCAGGCATTATCTTTCAATGTAATGTGTTATTTAAGGAACACTAGTGATTTCTTCTAAAAAGAGTGTAACACTTTTTCCAAATTACTCTTCCTCAGTCCTGCCTGTCAAGAACTCGAATGTAGCTGTGCCATAGCAACCTCTCCCAGGTAAGTTGGAGGGGGTTTGTGATCTCAATACACAAGGTGCCACAGATACAATATGACATCTGATGATGTGAATTCATTTACATTGTTTACATTGCTATGATAAGACCCTAAAGGAAGGTTAGTCTTTTTTTTTTTTTAAGATTTTATTTACTTATTTATTTATTTGAAAGTCACAGAGAGAGTGAGTGCTTCCATCTGCTAGTTCACTCCCCCAAATGGTTGCAACAGCCAGGGCCAGGCCAGGTCAAAGCCAGGAGCTTCACCCAGGTCTCCATGTGGGTGCAAGGGCCCAAGTCATCCTCCACTACTTTCTCAGGCACATCAGCAGGGAGCTGGATCGGAAGTGGAGCAGTCAGGACACAGACCGCTGTCCATATGTGATACTGGCCCTGCAGACAGCTTTACCAACTATGCCACAGTGCTGGTCCCCTTCTGTCTGCCTTTAAGGCTCTGGCAAAAGCCAGTGGTTTTAACTGAGTCTTCTGCTACAGCGAGTTCAGAACAGTTTCTGCTTGTTCTCATATGGATAGCCTTTAGTGTCTTCCTACTCGTCTCCAAATTATGTCAGAAAAGAAAAATGCACTTCAGTTTTGCTTTTCCTCAGTAATACAGTCAAGCAATAATTTGTTTCAAAGTGATCCATTGAGATTTAGAAGCATTTGTTTATTTTAAATAAAGCGTATTTCTGTAATTTGTCATGCATACTATCAACCTGAACTACACTGTCTTCTGTATTAGGTGGTCCAATAGAAATAGGAGGGGACTTCAAAAATTCATAGAAAAGTGGAGTTAAAAGATAAGTTATTATGCTTTAAAAAGAATTTTGAAACCCATGCAGAGTTTTTCATAATATGTATTTACATGAACTTTTTGAACACCTGTTGTATACTGTTTTGTTCTTTAAAAAATACACAAAAAATTAAGGTGGAATCAAAACATTTTACTACAAAAATCAAGAAAAAATAGGCCGGCGCCGCAGCTCACTAGGCTAATGCTCCGCCTTGCGGCGCTGGCACACCGGGTTCTAGTCCCGGTCGCGGCGCCGGATTCTGTCCCGGTTGCCCCTCTTCCAGGCCAGCTCTCTGCTGTGGCCAGGGAGTGCAGTGGAGGATGGCCCAAGTGCTTGGGCCCTGCACCCCATGGGAGACCAGGAGAAGCACCTGGCTCCTGCCTTCAGATCAGTGTGGTGCAGATCGTGGCGGCCTTTGGAGGGTGAACCAACGGCAAAGGAAGACCTTTCTCTCTGTCTCTCTCTCTCTCACTATCCACTCTGCCTGTCAAAAAAAAAGAAAAAGAAAAAATAGTGGGACACAAAAGCTAGAAGGCATGTGGAAAGCAGAAAAAAACTGAGAGAAATCCCTCATCACCAGTAATTACTTTAAATGTAAATTGATTAGGGGCCTGCGCCATGGCTCGCTTGGTTAATCCTCCACCTGCAGTGCCGCATCCCATATGGGCACCGGGTTCTAGTCCCGGTTGCTCCTGTTCCAGTCCAGCTCTCTGCTGTGGCCCGGGAAGGCAGTGGAGGATGGCCCAGGTCCTTGGGCCCCTGCACCCGCATGGGAGACCAGGAAGAAGCACCTGGCTTCTGGCTTCGAATCGGTGTAGCTCTGGCCATAGTGGCCATTTGGGGGTGAACCAACGGAAGGAAGACCTTTCTCTCTGTCTCTCACTGTCTAACTCTATATGTCAAATATAAATTTTAAAAATGTAAATTGATTAAATTTTCAGTCAGAAGACAAATTGGTGACAGGTTTTATAAAAACACAAAAATGATCCAACTATAAGTGTACGAGACCCAGATTAGATATGAAAATACAAATATGTGGCTGGCGCCGCAACTCAATAGGCTAATCCTCTGCCTGCGGCGCCGGCACACCGGGTTCTAGTCCTGATCGGGGCACCTGATTCTGTCCCGGTTGCCCCTCTTCCAGTCCAGCTCTCTGATGTGGTCCAGGAGTGCAGTGGAGGATGTCCCAAGTGCTTGGGCCCTGCACCCGCATAGGAGACCAAGAAAAGCACCTGGCTCCTGGCTTTGGATCAGCGCAGTGCGCTGGCTGCAGTGGCCATTGGAGGGTGAACCAATGGTAAAGGAAGACCTTTCTCTCTCTGTCTCTCTCACTGTCCACTCTGCCTGTCAAAAAAGAAAAAAAAAATTCAATATGCTGCAAAGGAGAGAATGAAAAGCAAGTCCATACAAATAGAAAAGAGCAGGATGCCTGTCTTAATATCAGGCAAAATAGATGTCAAATCAAAGAGGGTACAAGAAACAAAGATTTTTGCATGTTATTAAAATGTTCAATAAAAAGGTACAATAAAAATGCATCTAGGCCGGCGCCGCGGCTCACTAGGCTAATCCTCCACCTTGCGGCGCTGGCACACCAGATTCTAGCCCCAGTCGGGGCGCCGGATTCTGTCCCAGTTGCCCCTCTTCCAGGCCAGCTCTCTGCTGTGGCCAGGGAGTGCAGTGGAGGATGGCCCAAGTGCTTGGCCCCTGCACCCCATGGGAGACCAGGAGAAGCACCTGGCTCCTGCCATTGGATCAGTGCGGTGCGCCGGCCACAGCGCGCCGGCAGTGGCCATTGGGGGGTGAACCAACGGCAAAAGGAAGACCTTTCTCTCTGTTTCTCTCTCACTGTCCACTCTGCCTGTTAAAAAAAAAATGCATCTAATAGAGTGTCAAAATATAGGAAGCAAAAATGGACAAAATTTAAGGGAGAAATAGTTCTATAGTAGATGAAATTTCAATACCCCGTTATCAATAATAACCAGGTAGTAAAGTACGGGGCTTGAAAAACACAATTAACCAACTCAACAGACATACAGAATACTGTTTCCCCAGACAATAAAGTCCATGTCCTCAAGTGCACATGAATCATTCTCCAACTCATATTGTATGTTAGGCTGCAAATTCAGCTTCAATGGATTTTTTTTTAAACTTACTTTTAAAATTATTTGAAAGGGAGAGAGATCTTCCATTCACTGGTTCATTCCCCAAATGATCGCAGCAACTGGAGCTGAGTCAAGCTAAAAACGGCCATCATCTGTTGCCATCAGGGTGTTCGTTAGCAGTGATCTGGAATCATAAACAGAGCCAAGACTCAAACCCAGGCTCACCGGATACAGGATGCTTGCAACTGAAGTGACATCCTATCTTTTAAAATCCATTGAGTTGATGGGTGTTTGGCATAGTGGTTAGGATGTCAGCTATCCCATGTACATCAGTTGGAGGACTTACCATTATTAAGTGATAACTACTACTCAGAGGAATCCACAGACTAAAGTTGAAGGGCATTTGTTCAGCAGTCAAAAAATATATTCTAAAATTCACATGAAATCTCAAGGGACCTCCAACTAGCCAAAACAATGTTAAAAGTAGAACAGCGTTGGAGGTCTCAAACTTTGAAAACTTATTACAAAGCTATAATAATAAACAATAGTGCTGTGTCTCCACAAAGACATAGAATAATGGAATAGAATAGAACCAAGAAATAAACCCTTGTTTGTATGATAAATTATTTTAAACAATGTCATTCAAAGACAAGGGACAGTTTTGAAGAAGTGTTGGGAAAATTGGAAGTTGATATGCAAAAAATGATGTTGGACCCTCGCCTTCCCTAATTTATTCTCAAATTATCTCAAAATGGATCAAATGCCTAAATGTAAGAGCTAAGACCGTAAAACTAAAAACAGGAGGAGAGCTTTGTGATACTTGATTTGGCAATGGTTCCATAGATATGACACAACAAGAATGAACAACACTTTAAAAAGTGATAAATTAGGCTTCATAAAACATTCAAAAGGAGTGTTTGGTGCTGCAGTTTAACACGCCACCAAGGATGCTCACCTATGAGTGCCTGGGTTTGGTTCCTGGCTCTGCTGCTGATTTCAGCCTGCTGGGAGGCAGCAGGTGATGGCTCAAGCACTTTGGTCCCTGCCACCTGTGTTGGAGACCTGGATTGAATTCTGCACTCCGGGCTTTTCCCTCTCCCCATCCTGATTGTTGTGGACATTTGGGGAATGAGCCAGTATATGGAAGATCTTGTGTCCCTATTTCTGTGTCTCTTTCTGTGTGTCTGCCTTTCAAATAAATTAAGCTTTAAGATTTTTCTAAACTTCTGTACATCACAGCATAGTGTCAGCAGAGTAAAAGGCAACCCACAGAATGGAAGAAAATATTTGCAAATCACATTTGCAAAAGAAAATACCAAGTGGGAATTTCCAAAATGGCTGAATGGAGATGTGCACAGTTTGCCCTTTCCTCCACAGAGAATCACTAATGCACTTTACGGTGAGTCTCTGAGGGAGATATGTAAAACCTGTGGGAATGACACATAGAAAAGAGCAAGGCAACTGCAACATGACCCAGCTCCATGACCAAGGATAAACCCAATTGCAAGGGAAAAGATAAACAGGAAAGCTTCAACAGAGCCCATTGCCATGGATGCCTTATCTGAAAATCCTAGCTATTGGAGGAACCCACAGTCATCATAGACTGTGAGCCCAATAAGGGGAGCTACCTGGTATATGCACAAAAGCTCTACTTCAGAGATAAGTCCAAGTTTCTCACCCTCTAGCCCCCAGAGCATAGACTGCATCAGTGTGCCACCATCTTGGGAACTGAGACACTGCCAGAACCCATACTGTCCTAGGAAACAGAAGACCCTTTATAACACCTTCCCTGGGACCCACAGACATTCCACCATGCTAGTAAAAAAGACTGCACAAACCCAACTAAGCCCTCCAGAGCAACAATGAGCGCAGCATCCTAGCCCACACAGTTCTCTGCACTTCAAGGGGAGGAGAGGCAGAGCAACAGGTGGATCCTGTCCTCAGGACCCTAGAAGTAGAAACACTTCCAGCTCAGACTTGGTGTCATAACTTCCCCGCTGATTCTCCTTCTGCTGTCCAGGAAAGCTCTCACTTCCATTGTGTCCTGCATGCTCTGGAACAACTAGCCAAGTTCTTGGGGCTTTGACCCCACTCTGGGTAACCTATAACATGTGGGACCCAAAAAGGACTGCCAGCGGTACTCCCATGAGTAATCCCTGTCCTGCTGACCACTACAGGGACTCTGGATTCTCTCTCACCCTCCCTCCGTCCCTCCCCTTTCCCCTCCTCCTCTGCTCCTCCTCCCCTCCCCATCTCCCTCTGCCTCATACACCTGCTACCAGGACCTAGAGACCCAGCACTGTTGGCTGGTACTTTTACAACTCTGGCCCCACCCTTGACATAGACCACTTCTGGGACCCAAGCCAACGTTCACCCCATATTCTGGTGCCAGGACTGCCGTCTTTCCTAAACTGCCAGGCAGCAGCAATCCCTTCATCTCAGTACTACTCCTGTGAACCACCAGAGACTAAGGACCCATCCCTGTTGCCTTGGATACTTCCATGATCTAGCACCCCAGTGTTCCCAGGCTTCTGTGGCTGTGGCATCCCCTGGACCAACACAGCCCAATTGGGACTGAGAACTCCAGATCTTTGTCACTGCTGCCATGAATTACAGCAGAGGAAGGTAATGGGAGATTATATCATGGCATTAAACTGGAACTAAAAGCAAAGTAGCCTACCAAACACACCCAAAGTTATATCTTCAGGAAAAATCCTTTTAACATGAAAGCCATCCTTTAAATGTGATAGAAACAGGTGACCCCCAGAAACACAAACACAAACAGAGACAATAAGAAGTATGAGAAAGTAATGCAATTTAGCATCTGCTAAGGAACACAATCACACTTTTGTAACAAACTCCAACGTAAAGGAGATTGATGCCTGATAACAAAATCAAATGAGTGAGTGTAAGGATAAACAGATTCAAGAAAATACAGACAGCTTGTGAAATTAGGGAAACTATGCATGATGAATGAGGAATTTAGCAAAGAGAAATCTTGAAAAAACTCAAATCTTGGAAATGAAAGTTCAATAAATCAAACAAGAAGTATCATTTAAATCTACAACAACAGGCAAACAATATCTGCGCGTGAATACAGCAGGTTAAAGCTCTGGCCTGAAGCACCAGCTTACTATGTGTGTGCCAGTTCTAGTCCCGGCTGCTCCTCTTCTGATCCAGCTCTCTGCTATGGCCTGGGATAGAAGTAGAAGATGGCCCAAGTCCTTGGGCCCCTGCACTCATGTGGGATACCCAGAGGAAGCTCCTGGCTCCTGGCTTTGGATTGGTGCAGCTCCGGCAGTTGTGGCCATTTGGGGAGTGAACCAGCGGATAGAGGACCTCTCTCTCTGTCTCTACCTCTCTCTGTAACTGTCGTTCAAATAAATAAAATCTTTAAAAAAAGAAATATTCCAGTCAAATTTTTAAAAAGCAAAAGTATGGAATATAGCCTCTGACACCTATGGAACATCATTAAACAAAGAATTATGTGAATTGGGAGAATTCCTGAAAGAGAAGAGATTAGTAAAGGCATAGTGAGCCTACTCAATGAAGTAAGGGCTAAAACTTCACCAGTACTGTGACAAAAGGCCCATAGGAATACAAACAGACATGACCAGAAAGGATTCTCATCACAACACATTACAGTGAAACTCAAAAGTACAAAACAAAAATATTAATCTGCAAGATAAAAGCACCAAGTCACATGTAAGAGAACACCCATGATACTAACAGCAGGTGTGCTTGTGTGTGTTTAGTGGAAACTACAGGTCAGGAGAGATTGAAATGATGCATCTAATATTCTGAAAGGAAAAACAAACTACTGCCAAGAATACTGTACCAAACATATCCTTCAAAAATGGAGGATAAATACTTTCCAAGACAAGCAAAAACAGGAAATTCCTCACCACCAGGGTAGTACTCAAGGGAGTCCCACAGAAAAAGAAAAAGAAAGAAAATCACCATAATGAAAACTTGTGAAAGTGTAAAACCCACTAGATGAGCAGATACTCAAAATAGAAAACAATCAGATCTTATCAATACAGTATATCACAAACACAAAGATGAACAGAAAAAGAAGTAAAGAATGAGAGAGATTCCAAATTTTAATGACAGGACTAAGTCATGTAAATATATAAATAATGATCTTAAAAGCGGACTAAATCCTCAATTAAAAGGTACAGACTAGCTGAATAGATTAAAAAATAAAACCCCCGGCCCGCGCCGCGGCTCACTAGGCTAATCCTCTGCCTTGCGGCACCGGCACACCGGGTTCTGTCCTGGTTGCCCCTCTTCCAGGCCAGCTCTCTGCTGTGGCCAGGGAGTGCAGTGGAGGATGGCCCAAGTGCTTGGGCCCTGCACCCCATGGGAGACCAGGATAAGTACCTGGCTCCTGCCATCGGATCAGCACGGTGCGCCGGCAGCGGCGGCCATTGGAGGGTTAACCAACGGCAAAAGGAAGACCTTTCTCTCTGTCTCTCTCACTGTCCACTCTGCCTGTCAAAAAAAAAAATTAAAAAAGTGGAAAGAGTGCAGTCTCAAGGAAAAGTTAGGGAGAAAACAGCAGAGGAAAGTATGCAAATTAGAGGGACACAGTGGGCCTACATGGAGGGCGAGGACACCCACAACTCAGGACCCCAGTAGCCAAGAGCCTCCACACCAGCATTGGAAAGTGAGGTGAGACCAGACTGCAGCAGCCCAAACCACTGGCAAAAAAGCAGCTGCAGGAAGATCGTAGAGGAAATCTGGCTTGGAGCCCCCTGGGGGATAGTGTACCTGCCAAATGAGGAGAAAAAAACAAAAAGGGGGCATGTTTTCTCTCTTCCACAATCACCCTGCAACTGTGTCCTGTTACAAGCTGATAGGAGGTGCCATTTTGGACATATGTAACAGCTGTGCCAGCTCATGTACATGCTCAGCAAAAAGCAAAGAGGGAACTCCTGAGACTGGTGGGGAGAACAGACAGGCTTGGTGCTTGAAACTGTGAAAACACTCAGGCTATGTGGGAGGACTCAGGGTATGGCTGGGACTTTGGGCAGTCACTGGGGGAGGCTCCACACCATCAGGGCTCCCTGGTTCCCTGGTGAGGGACATTGCTGGGGAATTTGAGCTTACACTGAGGACTGCACAGATCCTTTGTGTGGTCCTTGTGGAAGAGTGGAAGAATAATATACCCAATGGGACTAGCTTCCAGGCATGGTCTCCTTTGAGAGGAACTCAGCTGAGTATGCCAACAGACAAGAACAAACCACCCCCCCCCATAAAAAAAATTTACCATGCCAAACCACAGGCACACCCTTCACCCTGGAGCACTGAACAGAGCTCCTTGGCCACATCCACCACATGCCTCTAGGTATTTCCTGAAAGCAGAAATTCCAGTATCTGCATTTAGTTCAAAGACAAAAGGTGCCACAGCAGAAAAAAAATATGAATGTGGACTGCCTTTTATCTCTATTTCATTCTATTAACATGTTATAAATTATTGAACTGTTTCAAACAATAGCAAACATGTTATATATATATATTTTTTAAATTGCTCTATAACTATAACTGTATTTGAAGGACTTCAACACACTATGTTACAAACTGCAATGATGCTTCTGAATGATATCTAGGAAATTATTGGAAGAAATTCTGTTTATATTTATTGTGAAAAGACTTTAAAACTTTTGTCATTTTCCCTATTTTTCTGATTCACTTTGATTGTAAAGGATCACCTGTCCTTCAAAGTTAAAAGCCTAGAAGAGCAAATTGACCAGCCTAACAATAGAATCTACATGTATTTCCTGGCTTCAAAGATCGACATTACTATGTAAATTATGCCATGCCCTGTTATCATTGTGAACAGTTGCCATGGTGTTTCTTTTTTTTTTTTTTTTTTTTTTTTTTTTTTCTTTTCGATGACAGGCAGAGTGGACAGTGAGAGAGAGAGACAGAGAGAGAAAGGTCTTCCTTTTGCCGTTGGTTCACCCTCCAATGGCCGCCGCTGCAGCCGGCGCACCGCGCTAATCCTGGCAGGAGCCAGGAGCCAGGTGCTTTTCCTGGTCTCCCATGGGGTGCAGGGCCCAAGCACCTGGGCCATCCTCCACTGCACTCCCTGGCCATAGCAGAGAGCTGGCCTGGAAGAGGGGCAACCGGGACAGAATCCGGCGCCCCGACCGGGACTAGAACCCGGTGTGCCGGCGCCGCAAGGTGGAGGATTAGCCTATTGAGCCACGGCGCCGGCTCAACCATGGTGTTTCTAAAATACAAGTTTTACAGTTACTGTGTGGGGGCTAAAAGTAAAAAGCATAAGGTACCAGGGGAGCATGCTTATCCTGGAGTCTCACAGAAGGCAGGGCATATTCAATCATCTTGTGAACTACAGAATGAATACCAAGCTGTATGGCTTGTTTTTTGTTGTTTTTAAACCTAATTGCTGTGGAGTGACCTTTCTATTTGTCAGAGTTTTAGAGCAAGGCAGACATTTGTTTACTTATTTGTCCCACCCTGGCTTTTCCTTTGGTTAATGCTTTATGGCGATAGGGGGAAAATCACTTTTGTCTTTTTCTCCCAGCCCCTTGCCTGCCTGATGTAAGTGACATGCCCAGATTTAGATTATCAACTAGCTGGTGGTTTATGTGGAGATCATTGTTCATCCTTAAACTCTAAGCCAAGTAGGAAATCTTTGGTACCTATGTCCATTTTATAGCAGTCAGTGAGACATCTTTTACTTTTTTTTTTACGTTTATGCCATTTTTTACGTTTTTATTTATTTTTAAAACAACTTTTT